TAAACCGCGACGGGGGCCGACATCGTCTATCAGGTACCTTTGACCCAGTGTTGACATCACACTTCAAAGAAACCACGTGACAAGCCTCATTGGGTCAGTCTACTGAGGAAGACCAGAGTGACTGGTCGAAAGCTCTAGGTGAGAGAATTTTTTGTGTTGGATCAAAAGGTTTTAACTTTAAACATGATTACCTATAGTCAATCAGACGAGGACGGCCGTAGTCACGATCCCAGGCATCCTCGGCAGGCTCTCCGTCGGGTAGATATGCTGGTTGTCTGGTTGGAGACGGCTCATCCTCAAGTCCATCATCACCCGCCAAGTACGTCCGAGGTCCGAGGCTAGGGACCTGAGTGAACAAACCCCCTCCGTACTGACTTCCAGATTTCCCGCTGGAGGAGGAACTTGATATCGGTGTGTCCGGGAGGAAGCGGGGAAGGCGGACGGGGTAGCGGCTGGTGGAGCCGGCGGCGGGAGTGGTGTAGCTGCCGCCGGTAAGGTAGGACGGGCTGAAGCCGAAGTGAAAGTCGTCCCATGCCAAGTCTAGGTTAGGACCTCCAAAAGCGCTGCCGGGACGATGAGTTCTCTTCCTCCTCCACACGAAACCCAGTGAAGAACGTCCGTCCTCGACAACGTACCTTTTAACAACAGATAAGGCTTGTTAATTAGAAGTAAGCTTGTTTGATCTAGGCTTGTTTTGTAGAATTCTTAAAAGTCATGAACCCCGAAACATCTACAGCTCCATTGTTCCCGTCCATTTTACCCACAAGACTTAGTATTCAACTAGATTTGCCAATTCTTGCAGTTTCAAACTACCTAAACCAAAAACAAACAGCATAAAGCGAACATTTCTCTACCGCGCCATTAATCTATGGAACCCCCTGCCACCCAGTATCAAAACACTGACCAGTCCACATCAATTCATAAAGGCCATCCACCAGTTGTACATGAGCTAAGTTGTATATATAAGTTAAGCCATGATCGTTTTGTTTAACCTATACATAATTTGTGATGATTATGTAATACTATGTTCATTCTCTTTTATTTTGTTGTCAGTATGTTCATATGTTTATATGTTTTGAACCCTGGAAGACTAGTCATGGACTAAAGGGTATCGAAATAAACGAATCAATATCGTTTGAAGCATAACTAAAATGCAGATCAAAGAGGCTGTTTGGATAAGAAAATCAACCCATTGATGAACCGGGACGAGTGGGAATACAAACTTAACCACGTTTTGTCCCAGGGTTGTGTTCTCGACGCAAAAGCGCCACCTACATATGGCGACGAGAAGCAGTACTCCAGTCAGAAGCTCTGAGGAAGATGTCTGATAGACAGCGAATCGTAAGCAGGTAAGGGTCATTACCGGTTGTGTAAAAAGAAAACTTTACTATCCTATATATGTGCTACCAATGGTAACTAATCTTATGAAATTATTTTCAGATTACTACATGTATAATGCATACACAGAAAGAGCCAAAACTATGCATACAAATCGGGGCTCGAAATTCATTTTTGGGAATAGATGCACTGGTGCACCTAACCTAAAAAATTAGGTGCACAAGAAAATGTTTGGGTGCACCATATAAAACAAAACATAATTAGAGATCTTATTGTTTCTCTTCTGAGCTTGAATCCAAAATGGGAGCTAACTTAAAAATCTTAAACAAGTACTACAAGAAAGATTTTATTTTTCTGACACTTAGATGCCAAGAATATCCTGTATACTATAAAACATTTGTTTTGTAAAAAAAGTTTTTACAAAAATATTTGGGTGCACCAGTGCACCCACAGAAAAAAATATGGGTGCAGAGCTCCAATTTTGGGTGCACTAAGGTACACATGCACCCAGTATTTCGAGCCCCGCAAATGGATGACATTACGGGTTCTTTCTTTCTTTCTTTCTTTCTTTCTTTCTTTCTTTCTTTCTTTCTTTCTTTCTTTCTTTCTTTCTTTCTTTCTTTCTTTCTTTCTTTCTTTCTTTATTGGCA